TAAGTGGTCAGTTTTTTTTACTAAAGTTTTTATTCTATGGAAACGGTACACTCAGGCTTACAAGAAGATAGAACTTGATGTCACGGACACGGCTGATGCTCATGCGCGGTTTACACAGGAGTGAACTCGACGGATTCTGCAGCGCATTTTTATTATGTCTTTGGAAAGGCGTTACCTTTTCCAAAAGACTCAAGGATGGAGTTTTCACTTCTCGACCCGCCTTATTTTGGCGGGAGGAAAACTCTCTTGCCGCTGGCTTATTGACATGGTGGTGCTTGCGTAATTTTCGGGACTTTCCTCGGCCACGCTGACCGCGGGCTGTCTAGTCCCATAGCGGTACATGGCTGGCGAGCGTTATTGCAGAAAAAACACACTTGGTCCATCCTGCGCGCGTCATGAAGTAATTTGGTATAATCTTTTTACTCGCAGAAATTAAAGAAAGTTTTTAGCTTTCACTTTAACATCTGCAAGTATTTCGTTCGACCTAACGGACTCTAAACCGTGTGCCGCTACAATATTGTATCAATATTCTAAAAACTTGGTACGTTAATTGAAAATAAGTCAAATATTTTTTAGTCACATTTAGAAGTTATACCTTCAGTTTTTCATCATGCAAAGTTAGTAGATTAATAAAATGAAAACAAACTTTCTATTATTGTTTATGATAAAATTAATTCTATATTCTAATGAAATAGATATTTCAAGCGATAATTTTTCTAAAAGAAAAGAATGTAGCATAGATCGATAATATTTTCAGTGAGGTTGAAAGTTTACAAGAATATGTTTTATAACATGATGATATATAGTATTATGTGTAAATATATTCACCTCATACTTACTTTTCATACAAAAGGAAAGACAATTCATTGATACATAAAATATTCATTCCATTATTTCTTATTTTTTATAGTTCCTTTTAGTAGATGCATCATTTGCAGCTAGATACGAATTAATTTCTATCAAATATTGCATTTGTTTTGCATTGATTAAAAAAATTCAATTAAATCTTAATTGATATTTTTAATGAATGGGAAGTCAATTAACGCGTTCCATGCCAAGCCAATTTTTGGTTACTTTCCACTCCATGGCCACGCGAAACATATACGTCCTACGCTATTACCAATTAATAATTTTGCTTCTGATGTATGCCTTACAATTTTTGTAATAATACAAACAACATAATTATCGAGAAAGGGGTGCATAGTTGAAGATGAATTAGATAACAAAGCAGTACATTTAATTTTTACAAAATTATTTTAGCAGATACATAATTGAATGTTTCCTCTACCAGACGAGTCGTATTGTGTAATGCCATGTCTAATTATAAAGAGTAAAAATTATATAATTATTTTTTAGCAAATCTAAAAAACAAAGAAACATTTTGAAACAATTTTTAAAGGTAAAATATGTAAATCAGTGATACTCAAATAAGTATATACATACAGTACATTTTCCGTTTTATTTTACTTTAGAAACACACTGTACTAAAAAAAACACTAATTTTAATGAAGTGGTAATTGTTACCACAAAAAATTGACTGCCACGCCGCGTGGGGGTATACGTATCACGATACAATTAATGCAATATACACAGTATTGATGATATCGGTACATGACTGTGCAACAGATTTAAAAAATTTCTTCGTTTTCCAATGAAAATTCCAATTGGTCTAAACGGAATATTTAGCATGGGGGTAGTCGCTCCACATGGCATGGAACGTATTAATGATAATTGCATTCATTTGAATGTATATATATATATAGAATCTACCATAGTGTAGAGACCGATTATAGCGAATAGTAAACTCGTATGATAGTACGATAGTTTACAAGAAAGTATTGTATATAAATACAATGAAGTCGTAAAAGAATAAATATTTCATCCGAAAAATAAATACTTAAAAATAATTTAGATAATAAATAACGGAATGACAATTACTAAATAAATTTTACAACGTAAGTGCCTGTGGCAATTTGCATAGAGTCAGCAAACAATGACTGTTAAAGTATTAAAAGAAAAAGGATTAAAAAATAATGAAGTGTTAATGTGCAATATAATAGAATCACACAATTGGAATCAGAAAATTGTCAATAAAATATTTTTGTTCAACTCTGATACTGTAATTAATGAAAAAAAATTGAAATACGAATAACTTGAAAATTACTTTAATACTACTTTACCAGAATAATGTTGTGAAATATTTTTGATGCACTAAAATTACATTTTTACCGGTAACTTACTATTGATGTACGTAAAATACTGCATGTAATATATTTTATTTCACTTTTCAATTAACAAATGAAAAGGAATCTAATTCAGTGACTATGTTTACAATAAAATTAGTATAAGTTGTATCATAAACATAGTGAAGGCAGTACAGGTTGTCTGAGTTTCAAACTGAAACTCAACAATAGTATTGGACTGTACACAAAAGTCATACTCATTCTTTCAAATTAATGACAATTAAGTATTGCAGTTACGTATGCATAACCAGACGATATTATCAACTCAATTGTCCAAAATACTGTTCTGCATCCATCTATTGTACCTGCTTTGAAACTCAAATTGCCTTAATGACAATTACTATACATTGTAAATATAGACAATACAACGTAAACTTAAGAAAATAGTAAATAAGATTCAGTATAACATTTTGATGTGCTCATGTGGACGAAGTAATTAGTAAGACATACAGAGATGTACTTTCTAATAATCATACATATTGTATCGATTATATTTATGCGAGTAGATGCATAAATTGTTCCTTCTTGTGCAGTGGCAGCTAAACTGACTAGTTCTATTATTCTTAATAATAGAAGCAGTACACAAAGTTTGTGTTATAAACAATAAAGTTGATTTACAATAACTAATTTATTTCGTTTTATTACAAACCTAATACCATATTATAAATTGAATATTCTTTATCGATTCTATATAAATAAAACAGAATTTTTGTTTAGTGTAAGATGTTAGTCACTTGTATTTAGTTGTGTTTATAACACACATAAATAGATCTATCCATGTAAAGAAAACCAACAAAATGTACTATTAATATACCCTTTATATAGAAGTACATCAATTTATTAAGTTACATACAATAAATGTTTGCACAGCCTCTTTTCAGTAACGTTAAAACAATGAAAAATGTATTTGTATTTTTATGCAATAAAAATTTCTAATAAAAAGGATTTGACATGTATAATAATGAAATATGTAAATCTAAATGTCTAAGCAGTCACAACAAGTATTTAAAAACAAGTTTTGGATGAAGTTTTAAATAAACAGTGTTTTCATAACATAAATGCTACATTCATGATACTCATCCCAGTGATAAAGTCTTTATCTCTTACAACCGTATATACACTCAGTAACTGAATCTGTTTTTGTATACATGATTTCTTCTTGAACTCTTCATGAATACTTTTTACTTATATGTAATTATAATGTCATACAATTTTTTTGGTCAGTTATAAATTTCTAATAATTTAAATACACTATATAGTTTAATTAAAATGAGATTTAAAATAATATCAAATTTTCCTTGATGTTATTGTATGTAAAGTAAAATTGAATTCAGTAATATTCACCAATGTACACACTAGTATCCTCAAAAATACATTTAAAAACTCAACACTCGTTGTATTTACGTTATTTTTGTAACAAACATGATTGGTGCTTGAGTTCAACATTAAAAGTAATGAAGAATGAATAATTTTACATTTTCAATACTTTATGAAAAGATAAAAATTAAAAAACATTACTGGATTATTGATTAAAATAATTAAAAATAAATTTCTTAAAAAAACATCTGTCTATTAAATTAACAATTTCACATATTTTCTATGTTTATTTAACTGTTCACCAATCATAAAATAAAAACTTATACTTAATATAACTATTTTTAAAATTACCAATAGAATGAATTTTGGAGAAATTCAGTGGTACTTTTGTACAACGATGAAGCACTTTGTCTTAATCCAGTAAACAGAGATACAACACCCTCCTTTTCTTCTTGTTCTTCTTCCTCAGGTAAGTAATCTGGCATATCATCCGTGTCACCATTGTCACCATTTGTATGAATCTACAAGCAAATACTCTTAATGTCATTTCAAATGCTTTAGCTGAATATTTGATTGAAAAAAGAATTTTTTCTATATGCATTTGTAATATTTAACTCTGTAAAAGTTTAAACAACAAATGACTATATGTATCATACTGAGATTCCTTATATTCACATACCTACAAATAGCAGAACCTTGCCGTACACATCTACAGACTTTTGGAAATTATGTCATATTCGGCTAAACATTTTGTCCGGCTATTGCCCGTTTTGGAAGTAAGCTCGATAATACTTATATATACTTACTAATTTAACAAGATATTCTTGGTTTAATTTATTTCTTGTAACTAATCTAGCTTCCATGTTCTCCGTATTGTTATGAATAGCTTCTGCAATCTGTTTTGCTGTGACATAACTTAAAGTGCGCATTGTAACACGCTGATGTTCTACATCAACTACAAGGGAAACCAAGCCATCGATTCTTATTAATGTCGATTCCAATTCTGAACGTGTTTCCTATATAATGTTTCATTAGGATTAGACAAAAGTAGCAGTGTATGAATTACATATGTATCAGTTATGTTTACCGGTAATAAGCCTTGGACATGTAATACGATAACATGAGTTTTTAATTTCTTTGGTTCGATCACTCTTCTGCATCGACTACGTAAATTATATATTGGTGGTTTCATTCTTTCTATATCATCTTTTATACATTGAGCTCGTTTGGCTATCTTTGGTTCATCAAAATTATATTTATTTATAACGGCATCCAAAGCTTCACGAACCCCAAAAGTAGAGGTTATGTGTACATAGTTATCCACATTTTTAACAAACAATTCTAAAATATCTATACCCAGTTCAATAATCTCGAAATCCTGTGCTTCAAGAACATAGGCTACATATGAAAGAACTGTTTTATCCTGGAATAAAAAGATTATGATAACAATAATATAGTAATATATTAAATGAGAAACTTTACCTTTAAAATTGTGTCATGATTTGCAAAATCCTGAGCCAACTTTTTATATGTTTCTAGCGTTGCTCTTACTTCTTTTGGATCTATAGAATCGTCCACGTCCATTATCTATAAGCGTAATGTTTACATTAACTTGATCATGAAACAAAATGATCAGAGGCAACGAATAGTGTATTCTTTCATATTATACAATTATCTGATTCTGTGAATATCGGTAATCACTTGAAAATGAATGTAATTCTGTTAATATTTTTGTGAAACGGAACACTGAAGCGATCACAATATACGCATCAAGGTATTTGAACGTTTACACGTTCACAAAGCTGACAACATGACATTTCCAAGCATAGAACAAATTTTAAACTGTTCACTAGGTCAAGTTCTAAACCTCTATAGTTTAACTATAATATGTGCTATCTCAAATTAAAGACGATCTGCTGTTTAAAAGTTTTAAAGAATCGATAACTAAAGTCAGTGCGAACGGACTTACAAGGATTAAAAAAAGTAATACCAGACTAAATAGCCTTTTGCTTAAATGAAATTTCTCATTAAGGAAATATAAGGTACATTTAAATGTACACTTTGATAGAAAATATTTTGTGTACAAAATTTGTCTTAAAAGGTAATAATCTATAAAACGTGTGCGTTTGACGTATATGTATACACATGTGTAGGTATACACTTATGCGTAATACCATGTATGTATAAATACATGTAATACACATGCATAATTCAGATAGATGTATCGGTATTACCCTACGTAGTAATAATAGCAACAGTCATGCTAATGCCAGCTGCTGCCAAATTGTTTGATGACGCGCATATTGTAGTACAGTAGCGAAACTGGTGTTTGGATGACGTACTAGAATAAGATGGCCGACATTAGCTCTATCAACTACCAACAGCACAACACCCGTATTACTTCTCTAATGAACTTCTTTCTTATTTTACGGAATCGGGAGCTGTAGATTTTTATTAGTGTTTTTTTAAGCATTTCTGAAAAGAAGTCAATGTAGTAGACGATCTCTAACGGCTGTTGCGGGTAATAGGGAAGTTAAATTGAACGACACGTAAAGTAGAAACATACAGCTGACGTATTTTCAGATTCACTTGTCAGGTGACTGTTCGCAAAGTGTACTAGTGTAGAGTGGACATTGATTATTAGAACAATGGAATACGTACTAATAAAAGATATACGGCCGGGCCAGAAAAACATTAATGTGGTGTTTATTGTTCTGGAAGTTGGCCATCCTACTATCACTAAAGAAAACCGCGAAGTTCGAACGTTTAAAGTGGCGGATAGTACTGCTTGTATGAATGTTTCAATTTGGGATGAACCTGGTCAACTTTTAGTACCGGGTGATATAGTTAGATTGACAAAAGGCTATGCATCTGTTTGGAGACAATGCCTAACACTGTACTCAGGAAAAAATGGAGACATTCAGAAAATTGGAGAATTTTGTATGGTTATAAATGAACAGTTAAACATGAGTGAACCAAATCCTGCTTTAGCTCAACAAATGAGTAATCAGAGTGGATCTGGTCCACCTGGTAGTAATGTTAACAATAGCATTACAAATAATGGAAATGCAAATAATATTGCTGGTCAACCTGGGAGACAACCCTTAGTATGTTTCTGAATACTATACGTATCAGTCTTATTTTTGATATTTTTATTTTTATTTATTTCCTTGCAGGCAATTCAAAGTAATTCAACAACACCCGCTAGTGGTACATCAGGTAGTTCTACAACAACAAAAAGTGGAAATGGTAGCAATGGAAGTAATGGTGGAAATAGTGGTAATGCTTCAGGACTCCCAGGTGGATCTGCAAGATATTCTGGTGATTCAACAGCAAAAACAACAGTTACAACAAAAACTAATTCTCGTGGTCGTGGGGGCTATCGAAATGGTGGCCGTAGTGATCGTAGATAACACACAAACAAAAAGCGACTAATTATATATGTGTAATATGAATATGAAACTGATTACATTCAGGACGACTGTAATATAATGTTTTTGTAACAATCCTGTATATGTGTATTCATGAATCAATGTATACGATAGAGTCTGATTAAAAGAACATATGAGTTGAAGACAATTAAATTAAAAACACACTTAATATTGTCATTAACGATTAATCAAATAATTAAATTATTTGATACAAATATTTTTTATTTATGTGTGTATTAATTTCATATTTAATAAGTTAGTTCTTCAAACAATTTATATTAAGAGATTGTCTTCAATTCATAATATAAGTATCAGAATTTTTCACATTCTAGTAAATTAATATAATATATAATACGAAGTATGTAATCTGCATTTAATTAGTAAATAATTTCGTTTAGTAGTATTTTAAAATATATTTTATCAAACAAACAATTGAAACCTTATGTGTGTATAAGCATAATTTACACTATGTATATAGTATAAAATAAATTTTAAGTAATCTTGCTGTATACAAATGTTTTATTGAATGTATATTGTACTATTTGTCTAAATTTCATTTAACTTACATAGTGCGTAACTGACATATTGAAAGTTATGAAGAAAATTCTATGTCTATTTCTTCCAGCTTTTTATTATTTTATAATGAATAATATTATTTTATAAATAACAATAATTTCTTAATCATTTAAAAATGGATATTTTATTTATTATTATTTTACCATTGTTTAATGTCAATGTAAGCAAATGTTTTTAGAAAATTAATTCAATAATTAATAAAATTATTATTTGTTATATTTATTGAAGAATAATAAATTGTAAAATAATATTTATATAATTATGTGTTTATATTTGTATCGATACGCGAAATCAAAGTTTTGAAGCAGTTAAAAATTTGTACACAGTAATTAAGCAATGCGAAAATGGTTTTTATTATATTTATGGCAAAATTTGAATTATACACAAAAAATTATGTATGGAAATAAAAGTAAAACTATTAACTAACCACTATTTAAGTTGTACACTAAATTTATTACAACGGAAGATGTGACCAAAAATTAAGAAGACAATAATATTTAAGAAATTGATTAGACTATAACATTCTTTTTCTATTACGTAGCTTGTAGGTTATGTCTATGGATGATTCCACACTACAAAGTATTTCTAGGGAATTGAAATACAGATGATTCTCGTTACTCTATGTCAATGACATTATACATATACGACAAATCTTCTAACAATAAGTTAGTAGTCTATTAGCACAGACCTAGGACATAGACCTCAGAAATTTCCACTGCTGTGGGAACTAGTGTGTTTGCCGTAGATGGTGCCACATGTGTTTGAATTATAGCTTAGTTGGTAATTTCTGAGCTATATTTATTATTAGATTTATAAAGAAATGATAAACGCGTCTTGTATCTTTGAATAACTTTTAATGAATTGGGTAAATGTTTACTACAAATGAAAAACATGTTATAAAATTGACAATCTTAGCAAGAAAAAAATATAACAATCGGCAAATACAATGAATTAATAAAGAAGGTTAAGAAGTTTTCTACCATTTCGGCAAGAATACGTCACAGAATCATGGAATTAATATATAAATACGCGAATTCAAATATTATTTATTTTAAATTAGAAACTCTTTTTATAACCTTTTAAATATGATTATAGTGTAGGATATTTTAAATTAAGAAATGATCCTTGAATAAGACAAATTAATTATAAGTTAATAGCAAAAGAATTAAAGATATTAATTTTAATCATGCGATGGAAAACAATGATGCATAAATAATGGCACTACATAATATTTTAATTAACTATCAGGGTGGGAGAGATATCTGCACTTTTATATTCATGTTCAATAAACGAAATACTATAAAAATCCAATGTACATACATTTAACGAAACTTGCACCACCATAATACTGTTGCAAAATTTTCAATATTAAGAGATGTAAAATGACTAACTTATTAAAGCTGTCGAATACTATGCATTCACATTCATCTTGTATTTATTTTTTGTTTACATAATTCAGCCTTAATGACGCTCTATTTATGTTTCCTACAAGCATACACTTTCTTGTACAAGTACTACATATATTATATAGGAGAGAGTACAGTACTGACGAGAGCTAGTTTTAGTTTCTTCATCCAAACAATAACACTTTATTTTAAATTAACATATTTAATATCACAATTATGAGTAACATATTTTGGGGCTATACAATTTATTCAATTACTTTCGATGTTTTGAGGTATTACACATATATATTAATATTTAGTAAGTTAAAAGTTACTTTTAAAAGCTAATCTGTGATATTTACCAACTAACTAAAGCTGTGATTTTTATCAACTCTAGCTCAAGAGACAATAAAATTTAAAGCGGTCGGTCCTATACAACTCTCCCGTATAGCGTTTTTGAGAACCATGATCATACTATTACTATTAGATTTGATAAGATATTTAGTTTATCTTGTTTCAAACGAGTTTCATAATTAAGTAGAACATCTACGGATATCATTTTTCTAAAGCTAATTAATAATGCACAACACGCATAACATGTCAGTCGTTCGTAAATGAGAACACAAGTTTTAATCTTGAGCGGTAATTGTATCACCATCGGAAGTATGTTGTATATTTTGATCCTGTACGGTATTTTGTGGCTCCTCGACATTAGGACTCTTATCAATATCGCTGTCAGACGATGAATTATCTTGGGGTAATTCGATACCGTGAGTTAAGAGGTTAGTTATCCTTTCAACGTCTACGGTATTATCCTGCTCGTGTATTTTTCGGAGAGCGTTCGAAACAATACACAGATCGCCTCTAAGTTCACTGACCACAGCAGTGATCTTCTGAGCGTCAGTAAGAACCTCCACGGACTGCGTATAAGGATTGTACCGTAATCCAAATGGACGTTTTATTTGACTCGCATATGACCTAAAACATACAACCACATGATTTCGAGCTATAGGTAGAAAAACAAAGTCAATCTTTAGAAAAGTAAAATATTTATGCACTTCTCTTGACCGAAATTACTATTCATAGAATAATTTGCGAAACTTGCCCAATCCATACCATGGAATGCAGAGAAATTCTGAAGCGTCTAATAATAAAAGTTATTTGCATGCATTACATTTATGTATTTTAATGCATATTAATTTTAATTTTGTTACTTTAAGTAAATTACTATTTTGATAATGAATTGGATTGTTCTGAAAGAAAGGGGTCATGCTCGATACAGTGTATTTCAGTACGAATTAGTAACTTGATTATCTCCATTGTTTCTGAAGATATGAAAAAAGCATTATTAACACAAGTTGTTCACTATGATGAAGACTGTAATATGACAGTAATAATTTTTTTGTAAGTGAAAAAGTTTTCGAGATTTCAAGGTCATTTCCATTTTTTAAAAATAAGCTTATATGTTTTTTATGTAAAAATGAATGCATCTGTATATTCTTTATAAAAAAGGTGTTTTTCTATGTATGTTGAAAAATGTTTAATTTCGGTGATAGTATAATTTAAATTTCGTTGAGTTCTTTAGGTCTTCTTATTCAGATCTGCTATCAATTCATAAACACTATACTATTTTACGCAAAAGAGTATAGAATTTTGTGGATACGTAGGGACAGGATACGTAGTTCCTGCATAACTCAAAGCGGTTAAAGTAGAAATTGATTTGAGTAAAAAAAGAAATACAAGCGTACCGCATTTTCTCTTTTGCCTCTTCGAAGCTTTCCGTGTAGTAGTACGAATTTTGAAATGCAGTGATAATGCATTCGGTTCTGCATGTGATTTCCGGTTCAAAGCGGAACGTTTTTTCAGGAGCGGCAACCGCGTGCTTCAATTCCGCAACGGAAGACAGCAAACCAGCCCCGTAGACTCGAAGTACACCGTCTTGTTTGCACAACCCGAATTCCACGGTAAAGAAGTACAGCTACGGAAGGAAGAATAAAATGAAAGGGTAAGTATATAGAAAACGGGAAAATAAGTTCTTTGTTTCCGGTCGGAAATAAATTTTCGTAAAGTTTTAATGAAACTGAGGAACTGCCTCGAGCACGATACACTCACTGTTGCCAATTTATTGATGTCTTCGTCTGAAGCACCCAGGGAAGCGAGACCAAGTTCCTGGGAAAATTGAGCGAAACTTGGATTCGCTAAAAGCGGCATGTGCCCTAACAATTCGTGACAACAGTCTCTGTAAATGACGGAAAGAAACTCGTAGTAGTAATTTTCCAGAATGGGATTTATAATTAATGCAAATGGAATTAATGATTGTTATATTTATGTGGGATTTTACTTAAGTATAATTTGTTTATTTATAAATGACATATTTCGCAATTGGTAGTACAATAGAATCTAATTAAAGTTGAGTTTACTGTAAAGTATACTGCGGATTTTATTATTTTTGTTAATAATATTATAGAATTTCATAAAATTATTTTATATTCAAGAATTTCTGGAGCTATAATAATTAGAATTATATGTTTACGTCAAGTTGATATGTAAATTTTAGTAGCTTATTCTTCAGTAGTTCATATGGGTTTAACACTAGAACTACCGTACCAGTCAAAATGACTGATTTAGATCTTTTTATTTTGCAATTATTGATATCTTGAAAGCATTGAATATTCGAAATAATCCTGAAAATAGATAGTATCATTTGAATATTATAATGAATATCTAAAGAAAGTGAAAATAATCTATTATTAAAATTTTTATAGAGATTACGTATTAAGAAGAATAATAGCATTAATACATTTTAGAATTAAGGGAAGCTATATAATAATAATTGTTGATGAATTAGGTTTTTCCGGATTATTTATTTTAGTAAATTTATGTTGTTTAATAAGAAATAGACGATTAATAATTATAAATAAAGGATTACTAAATATTTATCCTAGAATATCATTAATTGTGATATATTTGTGATATATACAAATATATATTGATGAAATTCTGATTGCACTATAAAACTCAGAATGAAAGTAATTTTAATAAATTGTAAATGTAGAATTGCATTAAGTAATTATATTACGAAAATTGAATTCTGTTTTACAGTTTCAATGCATATTAAATCTTGATATAGTTGTAATTTTATTTTATATTTTATACTTATATAGCTTATTTTATAATTGATATAGCTGTAATTCATTAAAAAACAATTAGTGCCGAATTAGAGATTCTAGCTTCTTAATTTATAATATTGTGCAAGCGCGTATGTTGTTCATAATGAGACGATAATACGATTTTTATGCTCAATGTTGTATTTTATTTTGAAATTGTAATTACTGAATAAATGATTATATGTTTAATAATATACTCACGGTTCAGGCGTGTAAAATGGATCAGATGAGTGTCGGATATATTGGGTACAGTGAAACACGCGGAAAGCAAGTCCTGCCAAAAAGTCTCTTGGAGAAAGATAGCCGGCTACAGGTCGAAGTTGAAATCCAGTCGTTCCTTTTGCCATTTTTAATTGTTTTTTGATGTTAATAATTAATTAATTTCGAGCAAATTTCATTATCTATTGGTGAACAAAATTCTTGTATCATACTTACGTTTCAGAAAGCTATTTACATCTTGTAATTGTGGTATATTATCATCTCTGTTGCAAGAAATACATCGCACATTGTAATTCATTAAATTTTCCATTGAATTGCATTTTAATTACATCATATGGAAGTTTACATTATAATTTTGGAAAAATCTATTTACCTGTAACCACAATATTTTACAAGTTTTGGCCAGTTCTCTAAGTATTCCTTACATGCGTGTTTCTGGTATAACTCATGCAATTCACGGAAAACAGTTCCCCTAAAAAGTAAACGATGTTTAAAAGCAAGTAATAGTAGTTTTAATAAGGAATCGTTAGAAATATCCTTGGATATCAATAAGAAAAGAAATCGACAAAAAGGATCATGTGGTTTAATACGTTTTACGTTAATTTTAATTTCAATGTATTGTGATTTAATACATTTGCGTTCTTTAATTTCGCGTAAAATTATATGTTGTTTACGTATGATTTATTAAATTGTAGGATCATATTTTTTAGAATACTTTTAGCTTTTAATTGTCTGGCATAAATGTTTAAATATATTTTCAACAGTAACATGTTTTTTAAGGTCAAAAACAAAAAAGCGTTAAACATGTTAATGTTAATATAGAATTCCATAAAGATACAAATATTTTTCTAATTAAGTGTTAGTGAATTTTGAAACACATAATTTAACACTAATTTCTTATTGTTATATAATAATCGTTAATACAGTGTTGCTTATTCTTTGGAATATATACAAAAAGTTTAGTTTAATTTAATTAATTCCTTTTAACTTTGTCGAGTTCTTTAAATTCACCTATAATAAAAATGCGTTGTATTTCAGAATGTAGAAAAGTGTAAAGGATTCAATGTTATAAATTATAATTTCATACTATTTATTTACATTTCACTCTCACTGTTATTTTTGAATTAACTACCTGTATTTTATTTGTATAAATTACACTAATTAAGAACACTAATTAAACAGTTAATAAATATTATTTAAGTGTCTTGTTCAACAATGTGTTTTTCAAATTATTAACAATAAATTGTTTATCCGCTGTTGTCTCGGATGCATTCAATAGCAATGGGATTAGAGGAGCTTCGAGATCGCGAGGATAAATCGAATCAGGGCAATTAAGGGGCGCATTCAGCGCCAAGCAGTCTTAGTTTGTTCACATGTCGTGAAGACGGAAGATGGAAGACAAACTCTCCTTCTTGGATTGGCAAGATTCAGAAATGAAGCGGAAACTCGCGGGCGTATCGAACGAATGATCGTTCCTCCGTCGCTGATTACCTTCGTGTTTCTAAAAGCACGCGCGATGATTTCATGTAACAAGCGGAAGTTTTGAAAAACTATCAAATAATGATTTTAATATCACTTTTATCGAGCATGCATTTTACAAAGTGCAAAGTGTCATTCAAGTTTCGTAACTTTTAATGGATTTTAATTTATGGAAATCGGGTATAGGTACTATTGTACATGATATTAGTAAATATATTACATAACTTTATGGACAGTTTGATGGCCAATATCATGGCCAATAGGCATGAGTTTTCTCAGGCAACAGGTATCAAGTTAAAATACTCGTTTTTACGGTCCGTGTTTGATCATAAATCAAAATATGTATTAATACTAAATGAAAATTGTATTTTAGCGTGAAAATAACAATTGTTTCGTTCATTTCTAAGGAAAAAAATAAATTTGTTTCTGTGAAATGTACGACTGTTAAAGTATTACGTAAAAAAATAAGATATTTGCAAACCATGTTCTGATTTCCTCTGGCGTGTATTGAATGCGAGGAATTTGTTGACCGCTGAAAAAACAATAATTCCATGAAAAAATGGTTTAAAAAATACTTTTTTTTTGGATTACTTGGTATTTTCCACATACTATCTATAATTGTTCGCAATATCAGCGAATTGTTCGCGACGTTTGCGATACACGGGATCTTTGAAGCCCTAAAACACGAAAGCCGATTTATTTTTTGAACAAATTTATTGGAAAAAATTGATGTTGATAAAAAAAGAACGTACAGGGTGATCAGCATCTAATTCAGACCCATACATAAGCACTTTTTGAGCTTGATCTAAGTCTGAGATTTTCCGTGGGAACCAGGGCATGTCTACTTCACTGAAGTCTGCAAAATTTGAATGTAATGATTGGTACTTTGCATAAAAAAATGTTTGTCAAGCGTTTATACTAAATGAAATTAAACGTTTTATATATAACGAGAATAGAGACTTGTTTACTCAAAGTAAATATAAATTTAATTTCCTTTAAGTATCTATTTGTATTCGCTTGAAAATTTACGAATTAAGTAATGAAGCACGATCGTTAAGTACTAGTATATACATCAAACGAAGAAAAAAATAGTCACTCAAATGTTTAACACTTTACGGTTCGAAATATTCTTCATTTTGCGCTTCGAAAATACTAACACAGTTATTTAATGGCACTTTAACCAGTTATTTCAGAGCATTTGAGAATCACTGAAATTGTAATTACCTATACATAGTATGATTACGAAGTTACAAATAATTATAGCAAAAATTGATAGAAGTTGATGAAAGATTAAAAAATACTTTTGAAATAAAGACTATTGAAATAAAATTGAATGTTAGTACATTCGTGACCAGCAAATTTTTCGCTTTTCTGATACTCATTTCCGGTGAAAATGAAGGAAATTTTGAATTAATCACCGCACCTTTCTGACGTTATGACAGGGACAAAAATTAGTCCTGTAACGATCTGTTCTTTGAAATGAAGAACTTTCCATTAAAGAAATTAGAAACGGATAAGAGCAGAAGAAGAAAATATTTTGAAAGTTATTATATTTGAAAAGACGTAAATTCACGTCAGCGGTTCCGAATGTGTTAAGTGTGCTTCGACATAAGAATGCCGAAGGTTAAGCCATAGTAAATTTTTATTAAATACGAAATTATGTTACATTAACAACTCACCGAAACTTGGCGCGGCAGAAAGTGATGGAGCATGTGGAATACTTCCCATTTGCTCATACTGAGCCAAATTAATGGCAGCTACTTCGCGACTCAACATTCTGGTTAACTGTTCCATTTTCATTGTATCACATTCGACATCGACGAGAATTTCATATTCTGAACCACGGCGCATAGATTTCCGTGACTCGATGTGCACAACATTTACACCCAGATCCTTCAAGCAGGATACATAAAAATGTATTTCAATATTTTTGTATAAATTTCACTTTTTTTCATTGTTTAAAACTGTATGTATTTAACAATGGTATTTTATAGCTGAATTTTGAGATTTTATATATTCTAACACTTCCAACCGAAAAATAATGCTAAAATAACAATCATAATTATGTTTATTGTTGCGAGTTTCTGTTTATTAATTACGGATGTCATAAGTAATCTCAAAAGCTTTGCTGGCAAGGAGACGTCACAGTAGATCATCTATTTTGATAAAATTTTATTTAATATATTCAGAGCAAAAATCAGCAGACCCATATTCGGCTATTTTCTTTAACACTTGATATTTATAAAAATATCTAACATTCAATTTTTTCGATTTCGGAGTTTGTCTGTGCCAATCTCTGTACCAAGAGTTCCAATCCGTCTAGGATCAACATTTCTTTTCCTTCCTTCTTAATAAATATATTTTTGTTAGTATTTTAAAAATGTTTTACTCTTTTAAATGAATTTTTTCTGTTTCCTCCTTTTTCTAATTTATTATAATTTTGTATTTGCTATTTCCACTGTTATATACAACTGTTTACTATTATTTACGACTCTACCGACTGCGTTACAGATACTGTTACGATATAGTATTTAAGTATCTTCTGAAGTCGAAAAAATTAAATGTTAAATACATTTATAAATATCGACTATTGAAGAAAATTTCCGAACCTTTGTAACGTCTCAATATGAGAGTATGTGATAATAATATCAGAATCAGATTCGTGAGCACAAAATGGCCGACCACTCTTTACATCAGGAGAGTTGGAGTTTTACACATATATGTTTGTACATTAATTATCTTTGCGTGTTCTGTTTCAATGAATTAGATTCATTTTTAATACATGTTAGTTATGTGTAATAAGAAATTTGATTAAACTTTTTAAAATACACTATCATTCTTTGGAAACTGTAAATAAACACAGTGTTAGTGTTTTTGTTCCAGAGAATACAGAAATTATATAAAAAGTTATTTTCTTAATTTTTATGTTTTAGGTATTTATAAATTTTATTCAATATACACCTTTATACGACATCTTGAATAAGATTAAATTAATATTTTGAACGAATTAATTCAGTGCAAGTAATTTTTCTTCTTTTTAGTTAATGTGAGAATAAATAATTTTTTCTAGGAAGTGTTTCTTTTTTCTACAGTTGTCAATTTTTGTCAATTAAGTATGATTGAATCATACCTGAAAGACTTGTAGAGCTCGTGCCAAACCACCGACTTGGTTTTTTAAGGAAAAAATGACGGAGCTTTTGGTGTCATTATTTGGTCTGCGCTCGACCATAGGGATCTGAATGAATGAAAGGACATATCTATACAGTATGCTGATTTATCGAAATATGTTCATTCGTACTTATCATATTACTAAAAATTATATGTAATTAAAATATTTAGAAAAATATTTATATCAAGTGTATTAATAATATACTTAATTAATAATGGAAATAATATGCAACGAAGAATGAATTTCATATAATATAAAAGCAGAGAAGTAATATATTTTGAATGATGCAAGATTATTATATACGATAAACATCAAACGATTGTACATATTACCACTCTTTTAAAGTAATTTTCTCAATGAAAGCTGAATATTGATCTTCGAATGAAAAAAATATGAACTCATTTTTGAGTTTTTATTTAGTGCCAGGTGATATAAAGAATTTAGAGATACTAGTTACGGTAAAGGAATGAAACACATGCTATATTATCTTTGATTTTTTTCTGGTTTCTGAAATAGAGATTATTCCAATAAGCACATTTAATTAAGATTGATAATTTTTTATTTTATTCATAACTCAATGAAATTTCTTAGTTAAGAAAATAAGGTTTTCTCTGATTTTAGTTTCAAAAAGTACTACATACTTATTTTCATCATTAGGGTTGTTTCGATTACAACAATTTAATGACAACTCTAAACCTTCATGCGATAGTTATTCCTTTCCCTTCCTTCACAATAAATTATCTTAGATAATCGTACGAAGGCAAACATAACAAAAAGAGTTGCACGATCTTACACAAATGATTAGACATTCAATATGAAAATCGACAGCAATTCTACACTTTCTCCGAAGTCAACATACGTCGGTCGATTTGTGAATAGGACTTCCTTCCTTGATGGTCCAGTGTTCGCCTCTTCTATACAGCCACACCCCGAGTAGTCCTTTACCGGATCCACTCATAATGACTTCTTTCGTATCAAAAATACTCTATAACTTCCCGATGAAATCAAATGTAAACTATACACCGCTTCCAATGTACCAATAGATTTTACGAATTGCCTCGACGATTCGAGGATTCCTTTTCGAAGGTACGGTAAACGACGACAGGATGTAAAGACTTTGAACAAAACGAAAAGTAAGACTCGAGCCTGAGAGTTCAATGATTCACCCCTTCGATGGGTAGAAGCAACAGTGTCCGGGTACCACTGTCTTCGGCTCTTCTTAAGACCTCGGTCCCCTCTGCGTACGCGTCTTCCTCAGTGATGATCTCTACGCGATTGGTCGACGCACGCCAGTACGACCATTCCCCATTGGTCGGATAGAACTTTTCATGGGGTTGAAGCGGAGTGTTGGCTCACCCCATTTAACTGTAACTGTGCCGGTTGCAGAATGTATTCCTTGTGACGTCACTGGAACCCACGAGATGTGGGTGGCGCAAGGGACGATGAATGGGAGAAGAGATTGCAAGGTCTCCTGTAGAAAAGTTATTTTTTTTTCTCCGGCACGGTTCCTTTTATTTTTCCATTCCTAACCAGTGTCTCCCTTACACGCTTCGCGCAACCAGTAGACCAAGTCTATAGGTTTCTGGGACAAGTGAAATTAGCCAGCCACGGAGAAGACACGAATTCGTTAGATGGTGCCAGCGATTACTCGTGACTCTACGTGCTCGTGCTCGTTTAATCGTCAACACCGATTTTGTGACGTTCAGTTGGATTTCGGTTTTGATTGCGGTCTTGGGACTGGAAACTGGTGTGCAAGAGATTCCCTGATACACGTTATTGTTTGAAAATATTTGGACACTTGGTGGAACAATTTTTGAAGAATATTGTTGATATTTTTAGTGAATAAAATAGTAATGAATGTGTGAATTTTTATATAGTTAAATTTGTCATTTGCAGATAATTAATAATGGTAAATTAACGATCATGAAATAATATACTATGTTGTATTTCAATTTGGTTTTTTTTCTGTGATTTGTGATTATAGTACGGGATTATTTTTAGGTAGTATATAGGTGAAACTTAAAAATTTTCAGGATTAAATAAAAGCTTCAACGCCTATTTCTATCTAACTTACAATTGTTAACAGAATTTTATCGCAATTTGTATAGTCTTCTTATTTTTTAAAGTGTTGTGTTTCATTTTCCTTCATCATTTTACTTTGTTTCACTCATTAAATTAAAATTATCGTTTTTTTCTAAACGGAATATTTTTTGTATTTTACTTTTGATTTTATTGTAACTTAAATTTAATAAAAGATGGTGCTCTTACACTGTCATGTATTTACCAATATTTTCAACAATAATAGTTTAAACATTCGACAATATTCTTTGAATTGTTGATGAACGAAACAGGTGATTAACGGTACATGGATATTATTTTTAACCACTTCAATTTTTTGGTATATAGGATATAAAAGCATTTACTAAACAAATATCAATATCTCATATTCAAAGAATAAATGGCGGGTTTTCATCAGGAAATTAAGTGCACCTTAAATTACTAGATCTATCAGGTCTAATACTATTAGTATCGAGTAAAAATTAATCTATACTATTATTACCATTATGAAATTCACACTTTCTGTGCATAAAAACGTTTTTAAGTTTTGGTGCTCAGATTATCATAGATCAACTTCAAAAATGCATGATACAAAAACGACATGAATTATTACTAGGCCTAACACTTCCTCGAAGGTAGTTTATCAAAAAACTATGCTCCATCCTATATAATACTACAAGATTTACAATTTAAATGTGTATTATACAACAAAATCAAATAGCGTCGGAGCAAGTATAAAATCCGCCTAAAGACAAGGAAGCGACTTCCAACCGGAAGTGCGGCTGTCCTCCGAGGGATTGAATTTTTCTGAATGAGACAATCGTTCCCGCTTTGTATTTCTTTTCCTAGAACAAAGCGAGCGTTTCATAAAAGCTCGAACCGCTGAGAACGGTTCTCCGGTTCTTGGCAAAGCAGATGCAGCACATTACCAGTGTCCATCACTTACCACTATCAGCTACCATCCAGTGCCTCTACCCTCGCTGAATTATACCAGGCGTTCCTATGGCATTAAGAGAATTGAGAGTATCCTCTGATCTACGTAGAAGATACTTCGTTTATCGTCGCATCTGCCACTCACTAAATCGTTTTTGGTATTGTGGACTCATATGTTCTTCGGGGGAGTAGCTTTTAGCAATTGCATTTCACACGGAAGTCAATAAATTAAAGAATTTGATTAATCGACCGAGTGTATCGAGCATCTCAGCAAAATATACTGAATATAAAACTATTATGTATTTTGAGTGGTATGATAGTCAAAGTTGGTTAATACTAAAATTATCGCACCCGTCAAAACCACGGGTGTGAATTTTCTTATTTTACAATTATTGATATCTTTGAAGTGTTAAATACCTGAAATGATTTGAAAAATAAATAGTTTCACTTCAATACTGTAACCAGTATGTAAAGAAACCGAAAAAATCGCTCAGTAGTTCTAGTGTCAAATGTTTTGAAATTATGAAGAAGGACAAAGCATACGAAGCGTATCAATGAAAGTTCCTTTCCTCGTTGTCAGATTTAGCACTTATGTATTTTTAGAATTTCGCAGAAACTTCAAAATATTGGGTACTTCTTGTTAAATATTATTCTACACGTTTTCACGAAGAACAAGGTTAAAACGTAATTTAAAAGTTTTATTATTTTTCGTTAATGATTGTAATCTGAATTCTGTATTGTTTCTGCTCGTTAAGTAGCAATAAAATAATTGCTGAATCGTATATATTTTATAAGATGTTTTATTTGGAAAAGGGAATATGCAGTATTTAATTGTTATACTTTGTTTTTTTTCACACAGTAGCATTTGTTAAAACACCATATTAATTTTACTTGGTATTGTATTAGAACGTTCCTTAACCCGTATTTCCAGACCGGTGATCTTCTAGTAACTGAGATTATCTACAAAACCTGATATCTGCTTCGTCTGCTTCGTCGAATTGTTCCTTTGAGGTTGGAACTGAACGTTCCCAATTTGCTGTATTGTATCGAAAGGAGTATAGTATTAAGAAAGGATATAATCAGAGAATTTAGATTTTCTCATACCTCTTCTAAAGAAATGTTTGATACTCAAAGTTTATACTAAAATTTATTAATTATTAGTTATTAATAGTTTCATGTAAACAATGTAATTTTGTTCTTTAATACTATATTAATATTATTATTTTATCAGTCATGAGCCATACTTCGGGTACATTCATTCTTGTCAACATTCTTTCCTATCTTTACTAAAAAATTCAGATATTAGTATTTTTGTTTCTACGTTAATGATTTTCCTTTAAAAGAATTTTATTCTTAACACTTGGAACAAATAAATATTAACATCATCTAGCCACTTTTCCTTTGTTAATTCATGCACTTAATACGACATAATTCTATTATTATTTATAATTCATTTAAATGCTATGAAACTGATTTTTGAAAAATATTTAAAATGTTCTTAACGTATCTTTTACTTTAGGTTTTCTCGAATAAATATTGCTATTGTATCAACATTTGTCTTCTTCATTGGTCTACCATCTCGTTCCATGTGTTCCCGAAAGGAATCAACAAAATGGATTACATTTTCTTAAATCTACATTACTTAAATCCCTACTTAAATCTAAAAAGTGTAAAATCTGCACAATACAATTGTTTTTGTTTATCTCCTTCGCAATTTTTTTCTTCTGAAGAAACATTATACGCTGAAAATAAATTTTACGTTGGCTTTTTCATAGAAAGGTTTTATTTGTAGTAAATTGAAAGAGAATTGATACTACAGACGAAATACTCTTGGACTATTCTTAACTCGTCAAGTTTATCCATTGCAGCTAGTACAAGCAACAGTTGGAGATAGCATTCCTTGAATTGAGAATATCGTCCAGACAACTTAAATTATTTTTTGAATTTTATTTGCATGTGTAATATTTTTATATTGATAATTAGTGAATCATTTATTTTAGTAAAGAATTTAGTATTTTATTTATTATTTTAGTAAAGAATTATTTATTTTAATTATTTATTAATTTTAGAGTAAAGAATTTATAAATTTCAATTTTTTCGAGTTGTGTTATGATGTTAGTACTAAAGAGTCCGTTACTTTAAAAATATGCAAGTTAATAAAACTCTTGTTACAATGGCAAAAATTCAGGAATTCATTGCAATTAATAACGTTTACAGTTTTGAAATAAGAAGTAAACGTTGTCGATGTAATTAAAAAATGTGAAGCAAATAGAATTATGAATCGTTTGCTTCTTGTGAATTTCTAACAAACATATTAAAATTAAAACGTTTTAATTCATTTTAAATTTCTTCAATTCCTTATATCCCTTATATGATATTCACGGCATCTTAATTTCTAATAAATGTATATGCCGAGAATGTCTATATAATATTTAATTAAATTAAATTTTTATTTGAAATGAATTTAACAATTATTTCATAAACATAACATAAGGATTAACATAAGAAATTAATTGCCTCTTTAATTTTCAGTTTTGTAAAATGTTCTTTTCGCAGAATCTAATATTAAATTTATTTTTTATTTCGTTCCCGATTTTCTTGATGGAACACCCGATATAAATCGCCTACTCAAGACGATTTCATCGATTAGCAAAAATAGTAAAGGAACTCTAAGTAAGAACAAGACGATGGGTATTTGCTGTTTGCGGACAGTAAAATCCTCTTGGTGTTCGCTTTCAGTACGAATGAAACGGTTTGATTCAAACAAAGGGGTTGAATGCGATAGAGAATGAAAGGAATCGGGGAAAAGATTTCTGTTGCTAATGCAAATTCGCACATGTTATTGGTATACTACACATTTTAATTATGAAATGTAAATGTTGATTGGAGTTTTTACTGTCATCTATTAGAGATGATGAATGACCATTTCGTAAATATTCTGAATAGGTAAGTTTTAATGATGAATTTTTAATTATTATTAATCTAATAAAAATCTATCTAAACATACTTCTTTATAATAATATTTTAATGAAGGTTCTTGTAACTAATTTTTAGGGTATGAACGGTCCATTTAGACCATTTTAGATTATGTTTAGATTTTTATATTCAATTTAATTTTATTTCATTCTTACGGTCAT